CAATAGTTTTCATATTTTTTAATTTTTATAGAAAAGTATTTTTATTTTTATGTCGAGGAAAATCGTCCATGATCGGTTGTTCATATAACAAATGCTTTCGAGTAAGCTTTATCAAGGTAGTCGGACGAGGCTATTTCTTTTGGATCTTTTGTGTGAGAGAGCATAATAATGTGTATGGACTGTCTTTTCTATGATAGTGGTGTGGCATTGTGGCATGAACTAGGTTCCTAATATTATATTGTTTGTTTGTTTTCACTCTAGACACTTTGGTCCAGAGTCCGAATTGATCTTTATTGGACTCATGGACCGGTCTTGGAGGGGTGGAATCTCATTACATACGGATCAACATAACCATTTTACTTTTAAAATAAAAATCAGATATATGGTATTGCCATCATTTTGATCCAATTGATAAAAGATATATCTACTAAAATGTTGGAAATTGAAGAATTGTAGTTGTTAGTAACAAAAGTTATATTATATGTTTGTGATAGAGATATAAAAGTGTCTTTTGCTATGAATACAAGTGTAAGTGATGGTAGAATTCTGCCTTCATAACAACAATGTTCAACCTTAAATTTACATCTTAAGATCATTGTCTCTAGTCAGGATCTCTTCCTAGCCCGGCCTCCAAGCAATGTTTTAAAAACTTGTTTGAACCGGCCAGTCGAACCGGTTGGACCGGGTATCGATCAAGTGAGTGGTTCAACTACTATCATTTTTATGCATATTTTTGAAACGGAACGAACTGATTTTTACAAAAAAAAAAAAAAAACAGTTGAACCTGTTAAATTGAATAAAAACACACAGAAATGAAGCATTTTGCATAACAAACATTGGTAGTCCATAGTCGGAGATTCCAGACTAGAGTTTCTTTGAGAATGTCTATAATAGTTGAACATACCATTTTCGGATCAGGGGAGAAAAAAGATGGATGTCGATGATTTCAAGATTTGGGGATATCTACCATTTTCAGATTTTTATATTTTGAATTCAATATCCAATTTAGGAGGTAACACACGAGATATGCAAGATTATGGGAGTAGAAGAGGAGCTTTAAGATTAACATATGCATCAAATAAGTAGCACAAATTTAGTTTCGAAAATTCACTTTGAAAAGGTGAGGAGCGTTTAGATGACACATGGCATATAAGATGGACTCTTTTATTAGATTGAAAGATAATAGCAAAAACATAAAATATAAACAGTTAATTGAAATAAAATCATTAATCAAATATGAACTACTTAATGAATTTCCGAATATAATAATTTAATTAGAATAATTCATTTATAAAATGCAAAAACTCGAAATAACTATAAATCAAGTAATATACCTACATCAACAATATTAAGCGTCCCCAATTTTCATTGTTATATAATAGCGACTTCTTAAACCTTTTGGCAACACATTCAGAATTCATAATTCAGAAATACAAGTGAAAATGAGCAGCGATCGTCAAGATACTAGTGGCTTCCAGACACCCAACACTGTCGATGAATTCCACCGCCAACTACCTTCATCCACCACCGGAGACAACCTCCCTGATTCCACCACACTACATCTTCCCCATACTCCAGTTTCAATGGCACCTGCGATTGAAACTAACGAATCAGAATCACCCATATCCGCCTCTCTTGGCGGTGCAATCTTTAGCACTCCGTCAACTTCTTTCGACGGTGCAGCTTGCGGCAACCACCACCACCGTGAATACCCACAACCCAGTTCCCCGAACTCTACCAGCCACCAATTCATCCGCCAATCAAGATCCGCCAACAATCACCACAACACCTCCCAAAGTCTCGGAGCCACCAACAAGAAACAGCCTACTTCGCCGGTCACATTTCGATCAAGAACTCCCTCACCAGAAAAACAAGCCGCCGCCGCCTGGAGTCTCTTCCTCACCCCCAGAATCAAGAACTTCGCCACCAGGGTCTTCCACCACCCGTAAGCATATTCTCGAATCAAAGGTTTGTTAAATTGTTTAGTTTCTTGTTCGTAGAGTTTAAAGAACAATTGAGAAATCAAATCTTTCTTTAAACAGTTGAGAAAAATGGGAGATAAAGTTTGTGAGATTAAACAAAGATTTTGCGACGTTATCCGTCAATCTCAAGAACATGCAGAAAACGACAACCCTCCTCAAGTATGATATCTTATTCACAATTTTCTCACTCTTTAAATTGCATTAATTAATTGATATATCAAGAACATTATATACGTAATTATGTAGGCAATGGTGGAGAACCCTCACAATGGTTGTTTCAGATTGGAGTTGAGTTGCTCATGTGGGAAGCGTAAAGGAATTTGTAGGGATGTTGCCTTCTTCCTCAATATCATACTAATATTGTGTTTCTTTTTCATGATAGGAATATCATATATATAGCTTTCTTCTAGTTTTGTCAAAGATTTTCCCATAGTTGTTTGCCACATCTTGAACTTGGTGATTGTTGTAATTCTACACTGAATGAAAGCTCCGAGCTATGCATTTCTCAACTTGATGTTCATTTTTTTCTGCATCATTCTTTACATGTTCTTAGGATTGAGGTGTCTGTTTTACTAAAGAAAGAAAGATAAGAAACCCAAAGAATTTTTCAAAGTTTGCATGAAAGTGGTAGGAAGTATAGTGATTTCATTCATAATGATTGATCGGATATAGTAATCTACTTTCATGTTTTATTACATTATTGTGTTTATAAAATATTTCTTATTAAGATATTATAAATTGAAATGTATGTAATCTTAATATTGCACTTTCAAATCTTTTATCAGAAATTATAATTTGAATACTATATTCAATTATAATACTAAAAAAATATTATGTTTATATGACTAAAGCCATGTAATTTTATTATCATGACATCAAGCATTGGCAATAAAAATCTCTTTAGGAAATGGAAATTCCTAAATTCACACCTCGCATTCTATGATGATTTGATGAAAGGAACGAAAAGATGGATGCCTCTATTAATTATTTAAACAATGTCATATCAATAACACCTTTGCTAGCTATAATCAAGCATATGTATGACCCCTACTATGGAATTAAACTATCCGGGCTATATCTAAGATACCAAAGAGTTTAGTAAACAGACACACAATATGGTATTCTAAATGTATTTTAATATAAATGGTAAAGTTCGCCATTTTTAGTGTTTTTTTTTTTCTAATGGGTAAAATGAAGAAAATCATAATTTATTATCCACTCTCATAAATAAAGAATTTTTTTCTTGTTTTTGTTATATGTAATACTCTCATTCATTTTGTCATACGTCATTTTATGGTTATTTTAAATTGATTTTTTTTTCCAAATGACATTTTATGGTTTTTCCATATTATTAAATTTCATATAATATGATATGTAATAATTATAGTAAATGTCATAATAAATGGATATCAATTTTATTAATACAAACTTTTCTTTTAATTTGTAAATTAGTTTAATGATATTGTTTATTACAATTCACTAATTAGTACGTATGGCATGGTAAAATTCAGTTTTTACATTGATTTTATGTTTTGTACAAACAAGTTCCTGAACAATTAGTTTAGTGACATAATTTATAGTTGTAAGTTATCTTAATGATTTAATATTAACATATTTTTTAATTTAGTTTTATGTTTAGACTATCTTCGTTGCTCCAAATGGAAACAAACTATTAGTTTAGATATACATTGAATGGAAAAAGGTTAAATGTTGTTTTAAAACCTTAATGTTCCATTTGTTGTATTTAAAAAAGAGATATTAAGTAAACTAGCCGTTATAAATGAACATTTAAAAGAAAATAACCATTTTTTGGTTTTTGCAAAATTATCATTTACTTCCGAATGCCTCATTTTGGATTTGATATTCAAATTTCGAGTTCTTTTTTATTTTTCCAAAAAAACATTTAAAGAAGGTTCTCTTCTTATGTCTGAAATGTCTATTTTCAAGGTGATTGAAGGCATAGTTTTCAATCTAATGTCTGATTTCATGCCCTAATATTGTATATAGTTAACATTTACTATATTTGTTGAACTTTTTGTTAGATTTAAATAAAAAATGAAAATTTTTACTCGAAATTCTAGTATTGTTTATTGGATTTGAGATTTGTTTTTGAAATTCTGGAGTTTTTGAGACAACCAGTGTTCACCCAGTGTCATACCCCCTGCCAACGGCGAAAACGTCTGGTTGTGCGATGTTGTCATGGATCACAGTTATTGAACATACATTGAACAATACAAAAATATAACATAAATAATGAATGTATTACTACTGAAAAGAGGTTACAGTGATATTCAGAGTTACAATAATCTGATGCCTTAAACAGTATGCTACTTAATAAAACTACATCATTGATCTATAGGTGATTGCGATTTCAGGACTTGACTTCCGATAGTGCAAGCTTTCATCTCTTGATTTCTTAGGAATATATGTAATTTTTTAAATAAACATCAACAAAATGTTGGTGACTTCACATATTTATAGTGTATGTATCAAAAGTATTTTTATACCAAAAGTATGTTCACTGAATATGTGATTTTATACCAAAAGTATGTTTATTAAATATGTACTATTATACCAAAAGTATGTTTATGGAAATGATACTTTTATATCAAAAGTATGTTTAAGGAAATGATACTTTTATACCAAAAGTATGTTTACTGAGATTGTATTTTTATACCAAAAGTATGTTTACTGAAACTGTACTTTTATACCAAAAGTATGTTTATGGAAAATGTTATTTTATACTAAAAGTATGTTTACTGATAGTATATTTTTATACCAAAAGTATGTTTAGGAAGTGTGTACTTTTATACTAAAAATACTTTTAATAAGAGTGTACTTTTATACTAAATGTATGTTAACTACGAGTATATTTTTATACTAAAACTATGTTTACTGAAAGTTTACTTTTATACAAAAAGTATGTTTACTGGAGTGTACTTTTATATAAAAAGTATGTTTACGGAGAGTGTACTTTTATAAAAAGTATTTTTACTGAGAGTGTACTTTTATACAAAAAATATGATTAATGAGAGTGTACTTTTATACCAAAAGTATGTTTACTGAGAGTGCACTTTTTATCCAAAAGTAATGTTTTACTGCATATAAGTCTGTTTCAACTTATATATTTGTTTGCTTAAGGCGTGAACGTCAAGGTTATAATGTAGGGGTGTTGATCGGGTCATTTTTTCGGGTTTCGGGTAATTCGAGTTTTTCATGTTAAAAAACAATACCCGTTACTCGACCCAAATTAAATTCGGATAATTCGGGTTTGGGTAATTCGGGTATTACCCGAAATATATATATTTTTTTTCAATTGCACCTGAAAATAAATTTAATGAAAGAAATACGTCGTGCTTTATTAGTCTTGTTTATATAAACAAACGAGGCATAAACGAAGTTACTCAAACTTTGAACATTGATATTTTTTATTCAATAATACTTGAGATATCACGTAATCTTTTAACAGTTTAATCTAATCTAATACGATATTAAAAAAAACAAATACTTGAAGATCTTAGTTTAAAAGTTTAAAATGTTTAAGATAATTATAGCCATAAGTTTTGCCATGTTCTGAAGTTTCGTCAAGGTAATGAGTTTGTTAGTTGTAATAAAAACTATGATCTAGAAAACAGTTAAGTTTTAAAGAACAAGGTAATATATAAACAATTGCTTTTAATATTGTTAGTGTCACACTGTCATAATAAAAGAGATTCATGTTTTACAATAATTATAGTTAGATAATGAGTTTGTTAGTTGCAATAAAAACTAAGTTTTAAAGAACATAGTGATATATATAAACAATTGTTTTTCATATTGTTAGTGACATACTGCCATAATAAAAGAGATTCATGTTTTACAATAATGATAGTTAGTTTAAGCGTGATCAAATATTTGCTACAGAGTACAAGCTCTACGAAATAAAAAAGAACTTTTAAAATAATTCGAGTATACCCGAAACCCAACAAACCTACCCTATACCCGACCTGAGAAAAAATCGGGTTACCCAAATGCCCCAAAAAAATTACCCGATACCCGATTTACCCGATACCCGAAAAAATCGGGTGGGTAATTCGGGTAACGGGTATTTTCAACACGGCTATTATAATGGGTTCTCATAATCGAGATATTAACGAGTTTAATTTCACCTTGTGACGCTCCCTCGGATGTCGTAGTGTTTACAAGAGTTTTCATCCAGTGTGACTCTTTCATCAAGGTTGTAGCTAACAACCACATGTGGGGGTATTAACATGTATAGATTTATACATAATTATTCTGCTCACTTAAGATTAACGATTACAGGTAGGGGTCTTCGCTAAGTATTAAACTTAGACGATGAAAATACCTCATTTAACCATTGCATGAATAGCCTTAACTTATATTTTTATGTTATCAGACCAATGTTG